AGTTATTTAATATCTGATTTTACGTAGTGATATTCTGGTCTTTCCATGTTCTGTGGCTGCAAATGAAGAGCATCCAGTACTGCAACAGTAGAAATCATAATAGATAATTCAAAATAAGTTATTTCTTAGTGCCCATATGCACCAAACATAGGCATTTCGATACAGTAGGAGTCTGTCAACATTCACAAATGCTTCTAAAAAATGTTTATATTATCAAGCCAAATGAAGAAATATGATTTAAGAAGCCATACAGAAGAGGAGAAACATATTTTCAAAATTAGTTCTATATCAGAAATCTTAGCAGATGTATTTAAAAGTTATAAAACAAGTATGTATCATGATGTTGGTGATTGGGAATTAGGTACTTCAGAGACAAATTAGCTATATACCAACACTAACGTCGAAAGATGGTAACAAAAATCATGGAAACAAAAGAAAATGTATAAAACATACTAACTGCTTTATTCTTCTCTAAATATTAAGAATATCAAATCTATCTTAAGCGTAAACAGAATATTCATTGTGGTATGACATTACAGATAAAGTTTTAAAACAAACTTTGATATTGCTCATCAATTAGTTGCAGTGGGAGCAATTATATCTAGGTATTAACACAGTTAGTTTTGAGAAAATCTTATTTTCTTTATAAATTATTTGAAGATCTTCATTTTCACAAATAGAATACAACTTAGGCACTTATAAAATGTGTAATCATATTCTTGAGAGTTATAATACCTTGGCCTTCTAGTAACATGAGAAACTTGGATAACCAAACAATGAATGTTCACTTGAAAGAGTCATATGGACATTTATTTTGCAAATATGCTGTAGGATTTATGAACGTGAGGAAAAGTAAATATGCTCATATCACAAGATAAGACTCAACTTTTGGCTTTTCTGGAAGTTTACAATCCAAACCCCATTTAAACACAGATTTTATGGTATAGTATATCACAGTTGATACAGTGTGATTTAAAAAAATAACTCATGTAAACCACAGAACGTAGTACAACATCAGATCTAAACTGCAGTAACATTCCTGTACTTGCTTTTGCACAGATAGTGCAAGTTAGAAAATAAAATTTGATTATTTCCACTGGCACAGTGAATAACACTTAAGTCTTTGAAACCCTTAAACACAAAAATTGATTGACTTTATTTCCTTACAGATCCATTGCTGTGCATATGCCAAAGTAGACTAAAGTGATATCAGAATGATGCCTTACTAGAAAGATACACTGCAACTTGGCAAAAGGATATGAATGCTAGGAAGCAAAAGAAACTTCAGAGACAGAGACAGAGAGGATTCCATGTAATCAGCTGCTCTACTTCTTTTTAGCTATTTGAGTAAGTTTCCCCCTTGTTTCCACCCCCTACTGTCTCCTCCAAACCCGCCATGTCCTTCCATCTCCCTCTTCCAATGTGCACCACACCCCTATTCACATGCTTGTCACGAACACGGCACATTCGAGACACAGTGGGAAAATACTTTGGAAATACAATAGCCAAAAAGACAAACAACTTTCCTGCTCTCACGGAGCTTACATTCTATTAGGAGAAGCTGGCATTAAATTTACAATCACTTATATAACTCTGTAATTACAGTTATAATGACGGCTATGAAGGAAAAAACAGGTCTCCAATTGAAATATCAGCATTTAACTGGCAATTACTAGCCTGCGCTCTTGAGCTATTAACCAGCCATGATGGCTGGATTTGCAGTGTAACTTACTTTAACATTTTCTCATATAAATGGTCACCCACTACTTTCATAGAGCCACTGAAGTAAAATATAATTTAATAACTTTAATAATTGTTGGAATGAAATGACCACTTAAACATACATGGGAAAAAACAACAAACCAACCAAAGATAAAACAAACAAAAAACCTAAATTCCCAGGGAAATAGATAAACCTATATGCAAAATAAAATGGAGAATAAAGTTAGCATTAGCAATAGTCCCAACAGTACCAGTGATAAGTTTCAAACCTAAAAAGAAAGCAAGCACAATTTCACAAAGACCACTGGGATCCATTAGCCACAAGCAGCAGATGTAAGGTTTGCTCAGAGAAGATCTCTCTCCAGTCATACCTAAGAAAGCTCCAATTTGCTGAAACCAAGTTTATTCCTGACTGTATCCTGTTAAGGGTGACATATCCTTGTTTATAAAACATGAAAGCAAATCCAAATAACTGACTCAAGAGTTTGAAACAGAATGACCAACTGAAAATAGGAGGCACATGGCCTGTGGGAAGGGTGAGGCGGCCTCCGCTTCATCCATTATGGTTCCGTGAGCACACAGCCGTGTCTCCAGCTGACTTAGCTGCTTTTGCGATATACAAATGATAAGGGCAGTTTCCAAGCCCTAAAAAGTTAATCAGGGGGCATGGAAGGGTCCTCACCGACTCTATAAGGAGACATCACAGTGATACCAGTGCTCACCTCTACAGGGAAGACTGGGGAAGACGGCGAAGGTTATCAGAAGGAATGTTCTCTTTAGATGGGTTACTTTTTTTATTTAAAAAAAAAAAAGAAATGCATTCATCTATCACTGGGCATTTAAAACTTTAGAAAATATTTAAGAATTCATACAGAAGAAATAAAAATAAGCACAATAATGCTCTTGAATCCGATTTTGCTTCTGGATTAAAAAAAAAAAAGACATTAATCCAGAAATGAACATTCCAGAGACCCTGAATTCACCACCCCTAAAGAGAAAAGTGGTGTCAGGAAAACTTCTCCAGGACAATATTGTGACAGGAGGATTTGGGAGGCGTGAATTTACAGTGCAAATCAGCTATTTTAGTCTGGGCAGGTTAATACTTATTTTACGCACAACTAGGGTCCAACCTAATATAGAAAGCTACGATGCGAAGTTGCTAGACAGTCTCTGACTTCCCAACAGGCGGCACAAGGCAAGGCTACGGACCTATGAGCAGCCCTGAGGCATGTCACCCTTATCGTTCAAAATGCCCCCACCTGCACCCCCAGCACTTCCACTCTGTCATGTGACGACCTTGTCGGCGTTTCCATTTCCCTATCACAATGGCACGCCTTCAACGTGCAGGCATGGCATAGTCAAGACTGGAGTTTTGATCTAGAATGCAGATTTGTTAAGTTAATTTGCAATTAAAGAAGACTTACAAGTCACATTTCTATACATCTGATTGAACAACATGTAAAGGAACAGGTCTGATTTGCAAAATACTCAACTCCATCTTCTTTCTCCCATTTAACATCAAGAAGCATCCTGGTCCCATCAACAGAAGAAGAAGGAAAATACAAATTCCTGCCCTCTGTAATTTTGTGCAGATTGAGGAATAAAATTTGATGAGAATTTTAGCAAAAATATGTTTTGACACACATACCAACAGAAAACATTTAAGACTGGCATAGTAAAACTGAATGCAGTTAAGTGACACTTAACATTAATTACATCAAAACAAATATCAGCTTAGTATAAACATGAATTATTCCTTAGGTAGAGTTAAATGGTTATGTAATTAGAGAATTATTTTTAAGAGTTACCTTTTCACAACATGAGTACGAGTGCGCACATTTAGAAAGTTTTAGTATATATATGCATTCATACCAATATACACAGGAAGGTAAACAAACACATATAGATATACTTCACTCAGCCAGTAAAATAAAATACAAATGCAGTTCACTCTATGCCATTCTGAATCTCATACTAAGGAACAAGGTGAAAAATGCCCACTTAGGAAAGAAAAGTGGGTGGCAATATATCCTAAAAAAAAAAGTTTAAAAAATACCCCACATGGTACACAAAATCATTAAAAAGCAATACATACTGTCATTTGCATAGTTACTGGAAGGCTTAAAATGAGATTAAATTCAATTATTGAAAAATGGTTGACCAAAACACAAATTGCAATCGCTTTTTTTTAATAAACTTTAAAGTATCCAAATAATATTTGTTTCTAAAGCTCTACTTTACACATTTAAAACGTTGATACCATTTCCTAGTTATTGCCCAGCTCATGTTCAGGTGCTTTTTTAAGCAGAAAAGGTTCCCTGCTACATGACACACACATGAAGCTGCAGAATGGTGAGCTTTGGTCCCAATTCACCGCATTAACACTGAGAGCATGAGAAAGATTCAGAGGATTCAAGGATCGGACACATTCCTGCGTTTAAAATAACTAGAAAAAAAATGCAAACAAACAAACAAAAAACTGGAGACCAAGGGCACATTCACTAATACATAGTTTAAAATGTTTAATTTAAAAGTGATGATACATATCTACCACAGCTGCCTATCATAAGCCTCCTTTCAGTGAAAACGCTGAACACAATGCGGATGGTTCTACTGGTGAATCACACATGCTTTTATTTAGGCACCAATGCTGTCCAAGAGTGCACATGCCTGACTTACCAGGTGATGAGGAATGAATACCTGGTTGATAATGTTCTCAAAACAGAGTTAGTAGGCACACAAGGAAGAACAGGCTTGTCTTGCTCTTTTGTTTCTCTGTTTCCAATGCTGCCTTTTCTTGATTATGGAGCTAATGTGCACACATGACCTCTAGCAGACAGCAAGGTGGGCACAGGACCATTTCAATGCTGCACATGCTTAGACTCACATCCCCACACAGAATGGCTGGGGCAGGTGGGCTCCAGAGCTAAATGTCTGAGGATGATACATGTATGGTGACTACACTCATCACTTAACTATCACTGAGTGATACTACAGAAACTGACACTGAAACCTGGAGCTAATTTTTAAATACACTAATTATATAAGTAGCTGACATAAAAAAAAAAAAATCACTCTTAAAGAGCAAGAAAAAAAAAAAGAGTGAAACATTTTGATGGATTTTTTTTCTTACCTTAAGTTCATAAAATATTCATTAACACTCATACCTACCTCCCAGTGCCCATTACTAATGCCAAAAGATGTAAATACATTTGCATAGCTTAGACACACTATAATTCATACAGAGGATAGTAAATAGAAATAAAATAGTGTAATACCTTTACTTTTACCTATTGATTTGATGAAATGGTTCCATGAAGAAAGGGTTTCCATACAAAGAGAATAAAGAGGAGAGAAACAACAATAAGAATTATGAATATATGCAAATGTACTACTCTTTGAAAATTAAACAAGATAAGAAAGAATAAATCAGGGTCTGAGAACAAATGGAGATACAATCCGTACGTGTTGACAAATCTGCCTTCTTTTAAACGCAATACATGCAAGGAAACTGGAAAGCCCATGCTCACTTTAAAATGCTGCACAGCGAGGAGATATAATGACTGCAGGTAAAAGAAGCATCGATTCTGTGGAACACTCTACTCAGCATTCTACAAGCCAGGAGCCAAAGATGTCTGCATGTTCCAAGCTGCCATGCATGGGTGAAAAATGGACTTTTTGGTACACTAAGTTAAGCTGAATCTCCTCCTTCAGATATTAATTTTTAATGGTTCTTGGTTTTTCTTTGCTATAACTACCCTTGGAAGTGCATGTGCTGATAAATGAATGCAAACTTTCAATCACAGGTCCTTACGTCTCATTTATTTTCAGATATTACAGTGCAAAGAATGAACAGAAAACAAAGAAGCCAAAGGACCACACCGAAAATCAAACCAACAAATAAAGGGGAGAAGGAACACATGAAGAAAAAAAGTGAACAAAGGTTATGTACTGAATTCGCAGCCAGACAATTCGCAAGCATTTTCCCATCCTTTGCAGTGATGGTTTAAAAGCAGCTACGAAACAAGAAAACACTGAAAGCGGAGTGGAAAAGGAACAGAGCCCATACCTTGGTCGCCCATCATCAGGTGCGCCAGACCTTGAAGGGAAACAAGAGCACAGTCAGCAATAAACAAGGGAGCACGGGGAGGCAGGGTTGTCGCGGTGACAAAAATGGTCAGTGACAGACATCTGGCTTCCTATGAGACATGTCTGCACCACAGAGGCAAGTCCAACGCATTCGTTCAACCCCCAGTTGGAATGCTTTGGGGCAAAGAGCTGGAGACCATGGCTTAAACACGGCACACGCTGCGCGGTGGATTTCTTGCGAATCCGTTGGAACATTCAAGAGCACAGAGCCTGACTCAAATCCAGCCAGTCCCTTCCACTGCATCTGCCCCTCGCGCCCTTGCACGAGACTGTTTCGGACACTGCCTCCGTCGGGTTTGCCACTCTTCCGGTGATGAAATTTTATTTTTAAAAACCCAAAGGAATACCTGAAACATGGGCTGGGTCTGATCTTTTTCCCCTCATCAAAAAATGAGAAGTTTCGTAATTAAATGAAAAAAAAAAAAATCCTTAGTCACACTGAAAGGGTAATGCAGAAATGTCTCCTTGTCTGACACATGTGGCAACTGACTAAGCTTGTTCAGATACAAAAAAGATCCGTAGGCATGCGGTTTTAACATTCGAAATTACTACAGAATAATGTTTTTAAGAAACAGTGGATCAGCTTTAAATAGGCTCAAGTAATTTTCCATGGAGAACAAAACTGTTTATCATTTTACTTAAACATAACTTAGATGCTAAACTATGAGTTAAATGCAAGTGAGTATATATTATATATACATATATACACACATATATGAAACAATTTCATCAAGGAAATTTCCTGAAAGAATATTGAATTTCTTTTGTTTATTTAAATTATTTATTATCTTCTACTTGACAAATAACTACAGATTGAAGATCACTCCTTTTCTATAGAATACTACTAATGTCCTCTTAAAAAGTTATTTTACTATCCAAGTAGATACTTTTTACTGAAAGGCATAATTCCTAGTTTTTATTCTAAATTCAGAAATAAAGCTACTCTTCAATCCACGAATATTTCAAAAATATGGGAAAATGTCAGAGCAATATAGTATGCATATAATTTTTACAAAATTTGCATTTCATGTCCTAGTGTTATTTCAAATATATTTGAGACTTTGAGATATATAACATTTTACATTACTTCAATAAGTATTAAAATAATCAGTGTCTTTCCTTAAAATTCTACAGATATTTAAACATTCCTAAGGGCAGATACAATTACAAATTACCATATAATCACAATATAAAATTATTAAACATAGTAGTTTAAGGTTCCTGTCATCCATCCTCTTTTTGTATTTTCTAAGTGATTCTAACAAAAAAAAATATAATCGCACAAGCAGATTGAAATGTTTATGATTTGTTGGCGGTTCATGACACTTCATATGCCTAGGAATAGTGGCTTATCTGTCCAAGTGATAGAATTTTTCATTTAATTCACTTTTAAAACTACCATACATATTTACTAATAACAGTTTGTAACGTTAATCAGGGAGTTAACTCTGTATCAGATCTAACTTTTACAAGATATATTAGACATCTCTAATGGTTCTTAACACCACCGTGGTAAGGATGGAAATGAATACATTTCCAAAGCATTTGCACTCCTCATGCTAGATTTCCTACTTCTAAGGGATCGAGACTATATTACCAAAGTCAAGATATAAACAGGGATGTTAAAACGATGACTGAATAAACTTTATTACAATAGTTATGGGCCTCCCCTCTGAAAATCGTGTCAACACTTCTCATGGGATGATTGCGTGTAAAAAGAGAGGCATTCCTGCTTATTAGGTTGGTTTTAAAGCCCGTTGGGATGTGACTGGATTTAGAGAGAAAAGAATAAAAACATGAAACTTTTAACAGATGATTAAGGAAATGAAAAAGAAGTTAAAAAGATAACTTAAAAAAACTTTCAATCTTAATTAGCATGCACTATATAAATGAGACTGATTTTGAAAAATGTCAGACCTACAGGGCAGTATCATCTTCATTAAGTGCATACTCACATGCTATTAAAATTACAGTCTAGAAAAGCAGAAGCCTTAAGCAGAGCCAACAATGGGGAAATAATCATTGATGATTTCTTTTGAAGTTTTAATCTATTACTTAAACAATGAAACACATGTTCGGCAACCAAGCAACTATACTGGACACGAGTGAGTCACAAACAACATGCTGAAACTTGCTTCTGGTCAACTTTATGTCACCATGAACTGTTCTTTATTGGAAACATCAAATCTTAGTAACTTTACTATTTATCTGTAACCTTCAATGAGGACTTTTGTTCTAAAAAATCTGTCATTCTGTACAAGTGTGTATTATTTTTACAGAATGATTTTACTTCAAAATATTGCAGCAAAATGAAATATGCTAAATGTTTGCTTCTGACATGCAGATATTGGTAAATTGTTTAGGCAAAACAGTTAATACTATAATTATATGATTTGATAGAACACCATCTTCCATTCCACAATTATTTGTTCTACCTAGTTCTGCATTTTTATCATACCTAACACATTTAATTTCTTTAAAAATACAATGTTGAAATATGTTTAGCTTGTTGGATTCTGTAGGAAAAAGTGTATAGCTTTGTCAAAATGTCTTGAGAGATAATTTTTGAAAAAACTTGAGTAAGTATTGTCATTTTATTTAACAGACACAGAGTATTACAAATATACTTACCACCAGTCACGGTAGAGTGCTGTGTGCTTTCACTTCCACTGGCCAATGGCTTATTTTTTAATCTAAATATATGCCTCTTACTTACAGTCAGTACTTTACTCTGTGTTTTTATACATCAAATCATTTAAAACTAAACCAATGGGCTTGAGATGATATAATGCTAAACAATTCCAAAAGAAAAAAAAATCACTTTGATCAAGAAAAAAAAAAATGGAGAAAGGATCATGCACTGTGTTCTGAACTGCAAATAAAGACTTTTCTCACTTACAATTAAAGTAAGGGGATTGTCTTATTTTTCCATATAGAACACTGCAATAGGTATTCTGGGTTCGCAGGGGGTGCTGAAATCCACCGAGGACTGGAATTAAGGCGGGAGGAGTTTCACACACTTGGGGCGGCGGGGGGAGACACGCGTGTTCTATATGGAAAGTGACACAGCCCAGGAATAAACAAACGCTCCGACAGATTCAACTTACCGTCTGAATTTGAGATGTACTCACTCTGTTAATGCTAAGAAATAAAAGGCAAATGAGAGCTGGGATAAAAAGTAAAAAGCACCCACCTTCCACATTGTTGTCTTCTGAAAGCACATGACAAGGGGGAGAGAAAAGGGAAAACATTCATTAAGCAGCATGCAGACTGGACCTTGCCTCTGCATGTCTTCCTCATGCAAGGCGCCAACACACATGCACGGCTCCACCGCTACGTCCGAAGGGGAAGACGACCCTGCGAGCGGTCCCCTCCCACCCGCAGCGTGTCACAGTGTGAGGCTAAATTGCAGTGACACGGGTATGTCCTGAGAAGGGGCTTTCAGGCCTTTCACGGTCCTCCATACAGCAAGCATTCTTACATGCTGCTGGCAAGGTTTCTCTAGGCAATACTTTTTAAAGCTGTTTTTATACCACTCTTAAAGATTCTATTTCTGAATTCTGATTTGGACTTGGAATGAAAGAAAAATATACATGAAGTCTCGCTTAAAGATACTCCAGTTCTACTAAATATGCAGTCGATTTTCTACCTTTCTTCAATGAAACACAACGTAAATACGCAAAAGTCTACAACTTGTTTGACTTACTTATAGTGTTCATCTTTATTGCAAATGATGATAGTTTATTGTAATTATTAAAATGCTAACTTTTAAAATGTTAAGTAGAAAATGTAGTCATTACAAGAAAAGTCCGTTTTGGAATGTCCATTAGGCAAAATTTATCAAGATTTATTCACTTTTACTTCTGTTTAGAGTGTGAATATGAACAGAGCTAAGATAATTACAATATTTGGTAAACTTTCCCTTATATTTCCATATATTTGTATAATATTTACATATTTTATCTATTTATTTAAATACATTTCCATATATATATATATATATATATATAATCAGATTTATATGTACTGCCTACAAATAATCAATGTAGTTGAATGGTATTTAAACTATTATTAGTATGTCCTACACAATTCAAGAACTATTAGAGATACAGGCCTTGGCATCCAGGTAGGAAATGTAAGGGAAGCTGTTTTATGGGACTAGGGTGAGAGAAAGGCTTCAGTATAATCACAATTTTTCAATAATAAAGTATATCCATGTTTAAATTCCTAGTCTTCTTAAATTTCATTTAATTGGCTATACTTTTTTAAGTGGTCATTTGATCAAAAGTGTTTATAAAGAACAAAACAATAGCAACTGTAAAAATAAGAAAAACACAACTATAAATGAATCATTTCATAAGGTTTGAGGAATATTTTTAATGGCTAAAGTTATTAATAAATTAAAAATAATTAATTTTGTTTAAATCATATCAGCTGGAAACTGAGATGTCAACACAGGCACATTTATTCATGTGGTCCTAATATATAATAGAACATAGCTGGGGATAAATGTGAACAATCACATCTATACAAAATACTTGGTTGGCCAGAGTTGATTTTAAAAGAATTTTTTTAAATGATTGCAGTATTTTGTATGAGATAGTCGTTTACTGTGTGGGTTTGGTTTCCAATCTACCAAATAAGGAATTAGACTGAATCTGTTTCTTTTCAATGATAACTCAGACATAACATGGACACAAATATTAAAGTATTATTTTATCAATTTTTATGGGAAATCATACAAAGATCTAGATGCTTTCCATATTTAAGATACACTTTGGTTTTATACTGTCCTTTGAAATTCTATTCTGCATTTAAGATGATTATTTTTAATAAGATTATTTAATGTGTAGAGTAATAACAAAATCAGGGAATTTAAAAGAGAGTCAAGTGCCCAGAAGGTCTATCAATTATTATAGCACTATTTAATTTCTGCAAACAAAAAACTGGCAAATATGGCTCTGAGTAGTACAATCCCAGAAAGAGGTTTTGGTAACTTGCTACATGAAAGTCTAATAGGAAAAGAAAAATGAAAACCAAACCAACCACATACAACAGGCCTGGGCTTGACACCAACTTTTAAAATGTGCTAAGTAGGATATCGGGGAAAGAAGCTGTACTCATAAAATCAAGATCATTGATCTGCTCCCCGAAAGTAAATTCTCATTTTGCTGTTAACTAAAGGCACAGGGCCACGGCTGGTGCCATTGCCTCTACCCTGTCTTCCAGCATTTTTGTGAGATTTTATTTATAAGGGGAACCAGGATGACTCATGGGGCTCTTTCTATGCAAATCTAAGTCATGCCCAACAAGTAAACAAATCCTGACTTGACCAAGTCCAGATAAAATGGTCTGTATCAGAAGAACTGGAGTTTTAAAAAAAATCAAAGTACTAGAGTAAAAGAAAGGGTAATATATTAACTCCTATTGTTAAAAAAAATAATAACACTGGCGTGGAACAGGCTTGCCTAGAGTTTGCATATATTTTCTGATTCAGTCATAGGATAAGAAAAATTCTCTTTACTTGTTTCATTCTCTTCAATCCTGTTAGTATCCTTTTGTTGGTTTTAGTCAATTTAAAATCTGTTAACCTGAAGATGATCCCCTATTATTTCAGAATTTGGCTGTCGTTATAAATGATGGTGGCTCTAATGTTTACAACAACTCTCCAGATATTTTTCCCTTTCTCTTTGGCTTTGGAATTAAACAAAGAATATCCAGTTTTAAAGAATCGTCTTTCTGATCACTTCAACTTTTGCTTTCTCCATGGATCCTTAAACAATCAAGTACTTGGGTTATTTTAGCAGCAGCACAGAGAGGTGGAAACTGGTACGCCACGAGGTAAAGAGAAAGCCGCGTGCTGTGCTCCGGCTGTAATGCAGAAAGCAGTCCACCAGGCCTTCCCTGCAGACACTGTCAATTTAGGGAACAGCTCCCGGTTTGCAGAAACCCTGGCTTCTTAATTCTGCTCGCCTAACCCTGCTGTGTACATGAAGCGAGTCTCCGAATAATCAACTTTACTATGGTGACCATGCCACCTCAACAGAGCACGCTCCTTTTCTTTCCTTTCGACTGTGAAACTAATGAATACAAAACCAGAAGGGAAGATACCTTACATTTTATTTTTCTTTCAGGTAAGACATGCTTCCTTCACAAAGATGGGAATTAGGCACCAGAGCATCAGTCATGTTACGAATGCTGGAGATGAGGAAGGGAGCTGCGGACTGTTACATTGTCAGCTCCCAAATTACTTCAAAGGAGCATCTCCACAAAAATGTTTCCTTTCGCCCTCAGTCTATAAGAAAGCAAGGATGGTTCTTTATCACGTCAGCTCTTTGGACATAATCTTAATTACATTTGTAGGAATGAGTAAGAAAACAAATGTGCTTGTTTCAATATAAAGAAATTCAGAAATGCCATCATGACCAGTGGGTAAATTAAAATTTGAAATAAAATATCACAAGTAACTCCTTCTTGTATAATCGGTGTTTAGGTTTAGCTATATGAAAAGGTTCACCCAAATGTACAAGTGGTAGTCAACTTATGTGCAATATCTTACATTTAAAAAAATGGCCAGATGGAGTTTGTCGCCACTCGGGCTTTTCGTCTCCTGTGGTTTCCTTCCTTCTCTGCTAGTTGCCCGTGACTGGCTCCCCTCATTTCCTTTGGCTCCCCCTCTCCTCCAACGACAATGCCACTACAGCAGGTGGCTTCCCACCCAGACCCATGCCCTCCGAGGAGGGTGCGGAGCCGCAAAGCGGGTGGCGGGCCAGGCAGCCGAGGGCGCGGGCAAGGTGCGGTCCCCCTCCCGGGCCGGGCTGCCAGCTTCTGGCCTGGCCGCTCCCGCCCGTCTCCGCTGCCCTCGCTGTAGGGATGAACTGCCGGCGGGAAGAGCGTGGCTCCCAGGGAGACACAGGGTGGGGCTGTGTTTTATTTTATTTTTCTTTTGGTGTCAGCAGTGAAATCCTTAGAAAAACTCAACAGTCTAGGCAGGCGTCGAGGACGGGGGACGGGGGACCACAGGCTGCGGGTCTGCAGGGCGGCGGCTGGAGGGAGGGAAAGGCGGGCAGAGCCAGAGGGGGTCCGCCGGGAGAGGGCACAGCGGTGCCCACGGAGGGCCAAGGGGCCAAGGAGGCGGGGCAGCAATCCGGGGGCTGGCTGCAGAGACGCTTTTCCACAGGTGGCCTCGGAAATGTAACCTCAGTCTCCACATTGCACTCCCGGGGCCTGCTGCAGCCCTGGTCTCCGGGCAGCGCAGAGCCCAGCGCAGTGGCCTCCTCTGCCCAGGGGCGAAAGGCGCGGGGGTCGCTCCGCACCAGCCGGCAGGGGAGGTGCTCCCGGCGCCACGCGGGAAGGAAAAGCATTTCCCTACGCACATCACCGGCGAGGTCTCGCTCCACTTTCGGTCCAGGGCTAGGATTCAAGCGTGTTATAGAATTAACGAGTCCTGCGCGAAGTGCTCTGAGAAGCTGACGTTGCCTTACGGTGTTGTTTCCGCGGGGAACCGTGGTGAGGGTTTCAAATTGCTTATTCAAAGGACTTTTGGAATAATACTTTCATAAGCTGCAGGCTGCCCGTGTGTCTGCGTCACACAGGTGCCAGTTGTGTTACAAACAAGTCTGTGGTATTCAATTCAAAATGCTCCGTCTTGTTCATGGAGACAAGGAGGGAGGAAAGAAAGGCGGGCGGCTAGTTATACGGCCGCTTCGTGCTTTAGCTGTTCAGTGGACTGACGGAATTTAACAGGTATTAGCCGACATATTAAAATTAAATTGCTTGCATAAACTATATTCTATACAATATCAAACTTTCTTTTTATGAGGAACTATTATGAAGATTTTTCTCTGCTTTTGTAGCCTCAATTCTTTCCTACACCTAATTTGAGAGGCTACATGATATATTCATTCAACAGCTGGACTTAGGACCACTGCATTCAACATTGACATAAAAACTGTGACAAGCACCGCCTACATTGTGTGTGCTCATGTCACTTTTTTCTCAAGAAGTTTCCTTAAAATTTATTTTTTAGAGAGAGAAAGGGAGGGAGAAGAGAAACATTGATGTGAGAGTGCAACATCGATTGGCTGCCTCCCACATGCCCCCTCCTAGGGATCACGCCCCAAACTGGGCACCTGCCCAGACCAGGAATCAAACCAGGAATCAGCCTTTCAGTGCACAGGATGGTGCCCAACTAACTGGGCCACACTGGCC